ATATTAATAAAATTAAAGAAAAATCTTACCTGTTTGCAGTGGCGGAGCCAGGATTGTCGGCAAGGGTGGGTTAAAGTTTTACGGGGCTTCGGGTTAGAGCCCCTGAAAATTTTAATAGTTTTTTTTCGAAAATATAGAGCAAAATAGATAGAAAATTGTATATCTTTATTAAATTATATAAATTAAATTGTATATTGTTCAAAATATAATTATTAGAGCTCTTTAAACTACATTATAAATTTGTTGGGTGTGCTAATTAATTTGGATTAGGATTAAAATAGCATATGAAAGAATTAACTAAACATGATTAGCATTAAAAAATTGCATAGAAAATATAAATTAGGGTGGGCTAAGTCAACATAGCTCCGCCCCTGCCTGTTTGTATTCAGATATAGGATTGAGGTTACCATCGTTGATAGCACATCATCTACTTCTTTAGTGCTATTTGATGGAATGGTCAAACAATTTATCGGCAAAAGTGCAAGCGAGGTGGTTAGAAATATGAAAAAGGTGATAATTTTTAATCATACATTAAATATTTACCATCATTTTCAAATTATTTGTATTTTGATCATTAAATTATTATTGGATCATTTTGTAGGAAAAACTGAGCAACACGCTTTCCGTTGAGTTTCAGATGTTGGTTAATAAAGAATTTATATTTAAAATACAAATCAGTGAAATGAATCTCAAGAAGAATTGGTCACTTTACACCGTTAAGACGATGACAAACGATGAAGAAAAGATACAAAAATTTAAGAGTGGAATGAAGGTGGATAAGAAAAAATATACATCCCATTTTTTTACAATCTACAATTATATGAGAAATTTATTTTTGTCGCAGGCACTCGACGAAGAAGATGATCAAGTTATTGGAAATTTTATTCAGCAGGAAGATGAAAATTCAAGTGTATTACTCTATCTAAACTTTTGTTATATAAATATACACATAAGCTTTTGTTTATTTTTTTCCCTCTGTGATATATATTATAAGTCATGTTTTCCGTTGTAGGATTTCCACCCAATTGACGTTAATGCAATTCCAGTTAGTAAGTCATGTGATAAAAGATTTGTCGATGAACTTACTACTTCTAGCTCTTCAGGTGATGCTGATACAAATACCCAATCGTCAACTACTGCTGTGTATTGCAAGAGAATCAAACTAAAGAAGTATTCAAAGTAATGGTTTTATGGTTTATTGTTTTATTGGTGCAGCCACTACAATTTCATTATGTATTATGATGTGTTTTTTAAACTCCTGTTTTTTGTTTTAAAATTTGAAACTTTCGTTTGTAGTTAGTTTTGTTTTCCTCTTCGTTTTTATTAGTTATTTTGGTAGGTGGTTGCTATATCACAGTTCTTTGTTTTTTCATGTTATTTCATGTTGTTATTATTGGTTTTGTTGCAAATCCATTAGTAATACTTATTTTGTTATTAATTTCCGTAATATAAATTCAGATCAGGCCCAGATTTTGAATATTTTATATATAAGATATATATATATATATATATATATATATATATATATATATATATATATATATATATATATATATATATATATATATATATATATATATATATTTATTTTGTATAGGAGCTGTGTTTGAGATTATGGTTGTAAATTTTAAGTTTGTTAAAGGACTTTATAAAGTAAATATGATCCTAAAAATTCATATTATTTAATATAAAGTGCAATTTAATCGTATTTTAAGTTTCTTAAATAACTTTATAAATTACAATTTCATACTAACAAGTTATATTATTCTTCACTAAACCCAATTGAGTTTGTGTTTATTATAAGAATGTATTTTTGTTATTTATTAGTGAAATCCAAAAAAAATAAAAAATAAATGATATTGTTTTGATGGATGTAAATGGCTTTCACATTTTTTCATAGGTTTCTTTTTAAATAAGTATTTCACAGGGGGGAAAGCGCAGTTGCAACTTTTATAGGAGTACTAAATACAATAAGCTTAGACCCATAACATGAAACAAACTAACCATTTCTCCACCATAACATGAAACAAACTAACCATTTCTCCACATTACTAGCGCCCATAATTAAAAACAATCTATGCACATATTTGTCTCAACTAATTTGCGTTCCAATATACATTAGATTTGTTTTAGTTAAATGAGAGTTCATCGGAATACATATGTTAGCTAATTCATTATTTTTTTATATGTTAATATTTGCATTATATTAAAAGACTAAAAAATATATTCAACTGGTTTTCAAAAAAAAAAAATGATTCGTCTCTTAAAAACTGTAAAAAATATTATAACTGATCACCTGGCTTACAAGGAAATAAAATAAAGAAATTAAACCTTTTATTTAAAGGAAATAAAATAAAGGCATAAACAATCAGATAACATACAAAGATAAATAAAAGGAGTTTGCTGCTAATTCGCCTTTTTTACCCACGGAGTTTCAATTTTGAAATGGGTCCCATCAAGATTATTAGCTAATATTTAATTTAAATATTCACATATTAGTCCGGCATTTGAATAAACATATCATATCTTTGAAACCCTAATACGGCCACTTATCATATCTTTGAAACCCTAATACACCCACTTACCCACGTTGTATATTTTTTTTACTTTTTTGTTATCCACTAATCACATATTCACAAACTCCACACCACAACTCCATTATGTAACTCATTTTTTCCCACGTTCTTCAAGAATTCAACATGCCAATCTTAACTCCCAGTGTCCTATATAAACGTCATCTAGGACGCTATTCCTCCTACATAAATTATCTTCTTTCCTCTTTTTGTATTTCGTCACATAACCATATCCTCCAGCGTACGTAAATTTATTTATTTTTGTTTAATTTTACCAACAATTCACCTGCATTGAATATGTTCGTTTCTAATATATGTTATATGCTAAAGTTGTTGTATATATACTGGTGGACGTTGTAATGTTACATTTAAGAATATTTAATATATCTACATGTTCTTTTTTTGCAGGAATTTGAATCTGCACTATATTGCACTTATTCAAGTATGGCACTTTCATTAGTTAGAGACTATTGCTGAAGAAACTTACCCAAATTTGCTCGCTAATATCATGGATTCTGAATAGTTACAACAGCGAGCAATATTGGCACCTACTAATGAAATTTTTGAGAAGGTGAACGATTACAAGCAGTCTTTGATTCCGGAAGAGGAAAAAGTTTATCTTAGTTTCGATAGTCCATGTACAGCGAATGAGAGTGTCGACTCACATCATGACATTCATACTCCAGAGTTTTTGAATACTATTACATCTTCAGGTCTGCCAAACCATGAATTAAAGCTGAAAAGAGGTGTTCCTGTTATGTTATTGAGGAATATAGACCAGTCCAATGGGTTGTGTAATGGTACAAGATTGACCATTACTCGGTTGGAAAATCACGTTTTGGAAGCAAAAATAATATCAGGCTCTAATGTCGGACAAAAGGTGTTCATTCCAAGATTGTCGTTAACACCGTTAGACAGTAGGATTCCGTTTCACCTTCAGAGGAGACAATTTCCCATTGTTCTTTCCTTCGCTATGACAATAAATAAAAGCCAAGGTCAATCCCTCCAAAATGTTGGTCTATATCTTGAAAAGTCTGTTTTCTCTCACGGACAACTATATGTAGCTATTTCGAGGGTTACCAGTCGAAAAGGTTTGAAGATGTTTATAGTTGACAAAGAAGGAAATACTTCAGAAAATACAACAAACGTTGTTTACAAAGAAGTATTTCAAAATTTAAGGTATTTTTATTTACAGTTTTTCAAATTAGTTCTTATGTAAGCCTTACATTCTACTGTGCATAATGTGTTCTTATTAATTCACAGAGTGTGAAGATGCAATATCATTAAAATGAATGCATTGCCACAAAGAATGAGCTGTCACACAACATCAAAGGTTATTGTTTTCCATATATTTGTTTCACATTTTTTCTTTCAATAATTTTTTTGTGTTATTTGAACTCATATATGATGCTATTGGGTATTGTTAATCTACAGTAATGCCTTGGGTACCGGTGAAGTGCACGCATCTTCTGAGCGGTTAAAGTGCGATTTTTAATGATTTTCTTATATGAATATTTTTAAGTGTAAAGCAGCAAATGTATATTATATTTGTGACAATTTGTGGTTTATTGCTCCGATTTAATAAACACATTGTTGTTGTTGTGTCATTTCTTTGAAATATATAACCCCGTGCAACGCACGGGTTCGATTACTAGTATTAAATTAAAGTTCATATCGATGATATGTATTAAATAGAATTAATTATTTTAGCGCGGTAATTATAATTATTATATGAGTTTGTTTTATACTACACCCGTAAATTTCACCAAATTTCAAAAACTATCTATTCGTCAAAAGCATTGTATTTTTGAAAAAAAAAAACAAGATTCAAATTTTTCGTAAAGGCTAATTTCAAACAATTCCCATCTGAATTTCAACACGACGGGGCAATGCATGTGAGTAAACTATCAAATATCCTACATTTATAGAAAAATAATGGGAAAAATATAATTTTCGTTCATCAAGTTTGCACCGATTTCACATTTGTTTTCTCAAGTTCACAAAAAACACATTTGGTCTCTTATGTTTCGAAAATCCAACACTTTTAGTCATTTCCGTCAATTTTTCGTAAAAACTAACGGAATCAAGCGTGTTCCTTGACTGCCTTAACTAATGGATTAACGGTAAATTGACGAAAATGGCCAAAAATATTAAATTATTGAAACATAAGGGACCAAATGTGTTTTTTATGAACATGGATGACCAAATATGAATTCGATGCAAACTTAAGGAACGAAAACTGTAATTTCCCGGAAGTACAAATAACCGTTCCATCTTCCATGTATTAAAGAAGTTTATTTTTTTGTTTATTTTAAATATTTTCTTGCAAAAAAAATGTAAAAGAAAAATCATGAAAAGATATATATATATATATACTTAACCGAGTACAAATAGAGATTTGGCGCAGAGCATAAATCATTAAATCTCCCAGTATCGTGCTCACACGTATACAACAAATCAAAATCCTAATTTTAGTAAAATTCCCAAACCCAAAACAAACTCCCTATAAAATCTTCTAATCCGTTACCTAATCAGATTCCATTCCCCCAAAATCAAAAAAGAAAAAAAGCCAATCATCAATCGCAAAAAAAAAAAAAAAAATCCCCAAATTCAATTTCATCATGGGTTTCAAATCTCTCTTCAAACGGAAGAAGAAGAGCCTAATCAATTCCTCCCAATCCACCCCCGCCGTCTCCAGATCCCCGTCGCAGAACGGCGGCCGCTGCCGCATCGAGGAGGAATTGGAGCACGTCTTCAAAAAATTCGACGTGAACGGCGACGGGAAGATCTGCGCCGCCGAGCTAGGTTCAATTATGGGCAGCCTCGGCCACCCGGCGACGGAGGAGGAGCTGCGGACCATGATTCAGGAGGTGGATTCCGACGGCGACGGCTTCATCGATCTCCGCGAATTCATCGAGCTGAACACGAACGGAATCGGCCAGGACGAGGTCATCGAGAATCTGAGAGACGCGTTCGAGGTTTTCGACATGGACAAAAACGGCTCGATTTCCGCCGAGGAGTTGCACAACGTTCTGAAGAGCCTCGGCGAGGAATGCACGTTGGCCGAGTGTAGGAAGATGATCAGCGGCGTCGATGCCGATGGCAACGGGACTATCTGCTTCGATGAGTTTAAGGTTATGATGATTAAGGGATCCAGATTTGACGACGTCGTTAAGGTAGATTAATTGCGGTTTAATTTGTCTGATTAATTTCCTTAATTACGGGATTTGCTCGAATTTTAATTGCAGGCGTAAGGCACAGAAGAAATCGGGTTTTGAGATTGAATCTGTTAACATTCTTTTCGGATCTATCTATCTACATTCATCTTTCTGATTAGCTAGATTACAAATACTGGTTTTTTTTTCTTTTTTTTTTTAATTGAAAAAACAATGATGGGTTTTAATTTTATTAATATGAATTTAATTAGGATGCTTTTTGTTATATTTGTTGATTATTTTCTCTCTCTGCACAAGTATTTTTCTGGGTGATTTTGATTATATTATGATTAAGTCTGGTTTAGAATTATGTCATTAAAATAGTGGTTATGAAAAGTGATTAGATAGAAATAACTGTAATCATTTAGGTAAAAGGAATTTAATATGTTAATCATATTTTTATGTTGGGTGTAAGTGTAACATCTTGTGTTAATAAGGTTTTGACTTTTGAATACAACATTGAATTTTTTGAAGCATGTGAAAAACTTTAAAAGTGTTTCCTCGTGGTTGACATCGTTTTTATATATGTGAATGTTTTGGTCAAAATCTCGCCAATATTTGGTTACGTATCGATAGAATAATTGGAGAATGAAAGTAATGATTGGTTATAATTTGAAGTGAGATTATATTCATTCTAACGGAATAGGTGAAATTAACAAACATGAATTCATTTCCGGCAAAAAAGTAAATTGAGATGAAAACACATCCAAACCTAAACGAACATGAATTCATTTCCGGCAAAAAAGTAAATTGAGATGAAAACACATCCAAACCTAAACGAACATGAATTCGTTTCCCGCAGAAAAATAAATTGAGATGAAAATATATTCAAACATTGCCTAAATAATTAACTGAGTATTCGTTCAATTGTTAGATATGCACTGGAAGTTGGATTGTAACTTGTAAGTATTTCGGAAAAATTCCACTCTTTTTTGAAAATTAAATATCACTTAAGATTCCATTCTAATTCCGACGTTTTTGGAATTCAAAAATATGTTCCGATTCCAAAAAATTTTGGATATTTTGGAAACTTAGAAACTTCGAAAATTATATTGGGCTTGTATAATTTTCTTCATAATGAATATGTGGCCCGATTATAAGGTTGAAACGAACTTTTCTATTATAATAATCATTGAACTATTAACACATTTTTAATATTAACTTCAAGAACCTATTAAACAAAAACAATGACTTCTTATTTAAAAAAAAAAATGACTATTGATGATATGTGAAATGACTATTGTGCCCTTTGGATCATTTGTAATTTACGCGTTTATCAAAATCGATTAGAGGATCGGAATTAATCGATTAGAGGATCGGAATTACCAGTGGCGCATCGACCCGTTTCCCTAAACCCCCACCGGAGTACCCGATGTCAACCAAGATGATGCTAATGGCGTCTTCGCTAACCCACGCGCGGCCTATAGCATGCGCCGCCGCGTCGGCCTTCATCAACCCGTCGCGTTTGGCGTCTCAGCCGCCGGACCTCATAAAATGGGTCCGCAGAGAAGGTGGGTTTGTGCACCACTCAATCAAGATTGCATATTTGGAGGAGGATAAACCCAACGGGCCCGGGCTCGGGCTTGGGCTTGTTGCTACTGACGATATCCCAAAAGGGTCGGACCTCATTACCCTACCCGACCACATTCCTCTCAGATTCGATGCCAAAGATGGAGAACCCTCTACTCTGATTGATTTAGCTCGACATATTCCAGGTGCTTTTCCTAATTTAATTTAATTTAATTTGAGGTTTAGTACTTTTTTTTTCATAATATTTATGTTTTGATGTCTGAATAATCTTTAGTGGCTTTCCAGTGAAGAACAATTTAAAGTTAGTTTATATATGTGGTTGAATTGATCTCTAATTTTAGTTTAGCAAAAATTGTGGGTTTTAAAGGTTTTAAAATATGAACGAGTACGTTCGTTTGGTGTTCGATTCCGGTACGTAGTTTAGAAGTTACGACATTGTGAAGTAGTTTTCGTAATGTGGTGTTCCTTAAAATATTAGGCTATTGAATTTTGTATAAAGGAGTAGTAAATTGGAGCATTTGACAGAGGAATTATGGGCCATGAAATTGGGCGTAAGGCTTCTGCAAGAACGAGCGATAAGGGGTTCGTTTTGGTGGCCCTACATCGGGAATCTTCCGGAAACTTACAGCGTGCCGATTTTCTTCCCCGGTGAAGATATCAAGAATTTACAGTATGCTCCTCTTCTTCATCAGGTACATTTTTTGTCTATTGCTTACGTCTCTTCAGTCTTGATGTAAATATCAACCCGACGAATTTTAGGATGGGCATTTTTGGCTTTTGTAAGAAAAACACAGAACTGCCGATCGTTGTGAAGTAGGGGTGCAAATTGGAACGAAATTTCCAAATTCTGCCGATTCCGATCCGAGTATTTCTGATTCCGGAACAATATTTTTTATTCCGAATGCCGAATTTTTTTTGGAACAGAATTGGAATACATATTAGATTCCGATTTCCGGTCTGGTTTAATTTCCAGAAATTCCAATTTTTTTCTTCAACAATTACAATTATAATACCAATATCATATCTATTTTATATTATAAATGACTAAAAATTTGGAGATTCCGAACTCCGCCCGATTCCGATAAACAAATTCTGATTTATGAACAAGTTTTTTTTATTCCAATTTCCGATTTTCTGATTTCTGATTTTTCAGATGTTTTTTTATAACTAAGTTGGAACTACTTTTTCACTTCCGAAAAAAAATTGAATTTTTCCGAAAGTGTTGATTCCTATCCAATCCGTCTGATTTACACCCCTAGTTTGAAATGATGGCAAAACAAACTGATTTATTGTTCACTTTATTATTTATTTGTTTCTTTCTTCCCCTACTAGGTAAACAAGAGATGTCGGTTTCTTCTTGAATTTGAGAAATTAGTGAAAAACGAACTCGAAACTATCAAACTGGATGACCACCCTTTTGGAGGCAAAAATATAGACGCATCAGCGCTCGGGTGGGCCATGTCAGCAGTTTCGTCACGAGCATTTCGCTTGCACGGCAAGAAACATCCAGACGGGACCCACATCGACACTCCGATGATGCTTCCGCTCATAGATATGTGCAACCACAGCTTCGCGCCGAATGCTGAAATTGTACAAGAAAACAACGAAAACGTACTCGTAAAGGTGTGTTCCTTGTTTCCGATTCTATGAACGATGCGATGATTAAAGAAATCTTGTTTATGGTTTTTGCTGCTTTGTGTTTATTTACCAGGTTATTGCTGGAGCGGAGATTAAAAGAGACGATCAATTAGAGCTTAATTACGGAAGATTGAATAATGATTTTTTTCTTATGGATTACGGATTTGTTGTTCCTTCAAATCCGTATGATTGCATTGAACTGAAATATGACTCTGGTTTACTAGAAGCTGCAAGCATGGCTGCGGGGGTTTCTACCCCCAACTTCTCGTCTCCATTACCGTGGCAGCAACAAATTTTGCTCCGGTTAAATCTGCACGGTGAAAATTCTGATCTCAAGGTATATTGTCTCTCTCTCTCTCAATTTTACGACCCATTTTTCATCTCTGGGAGATAATATGGATCTGGTTTGATCATGGACCCGATTCATATTGGAATAGTCTGGATCCAATTGAAAATTCGTTTAACCCGTTTTCGGTTGATATAATATATTTTTGACCACTTTAACCTACTTTTGCCATTGATCGATATATATAACACGTTTTGAGCTGATTTCACATGTTTTTTAACCGATTGAGGGGTGGAAATTTGAACAGAATTTTTCAATTCCGCAGATTTCGATCCGAATATTTTCGATTTTGGAACAATATTTTTCATTCCAAATTCCCGTTCCGATTTTTTTCGAACAGAATTAGAATTGGAATACATATGAGATTCCAAATTCTGATCCAATTTTAATTTCTGAAAATTACACATTAAATATCAATATTGTTATGTATTTTACATATTAGGTGACTAAAATAAAAATTGAAATTCCTAATCCCGCCAATTCCAATCTGAAAAATTCTGATTCTGGAACAAAATATCTAAATTCCGATTGCCCGATTTCTTTTTCCAATCTGACCAACTAATTAATTTCATGTTGTTGAAATTAGGTAAGGATTGGAGGATCGGAGTTGGTGGAGGATCGGCTATTGGCCGCACTAAGGGTACTCCTATCGAACGACAAAGAAGCAGTAGAAAAGCACAATTTAGACACACTCAAATCGATAGCATCGGGTCCCCCACTCGGACCATCAAACGAGGCAGCTGTTTTCCGAACAATCATCGCTCTATGCATGATAGCATTAAGCCATTTCCCGACGAAAATAATGGAAGATGAATCTGTATTGGAAAAGACGGTTTCTTCAACTGCTGAGCTGGCGGTTCGGTATAGAATACAGAAGAAGTCTCTGATTATTGATGCTATGAGGGATTTTACGAGGCGAGTGAAGTTGCTTTCTGAGAAGGAACCCGTTTCCGCCCAATAGTTATGCATCGAGTTTTCGGAGATAATTTAATGTTTTTTAGTTTATTATTTGCATTTTGATGGAAATCGCATCGAAATTTTTGAATTTTGTCGATTTCAATCCGAATATTTTCCGATTATATATTATTAATTTACAAAAATTCCAATATTTTTCTCTCCCGAAAATTATTCTTGTAGTATCAATATTAGTTCTGATCTAATTCTGGAACAAATTTTTTCATTCCAATTTTTGTTTTTGCACCTCCAAAAAAAAGTCAGATTTTTTCCGTAAAATATATATCCGATTCGATTCGATCTGTCCGATTCGCAACCGATTCAAAACCTTTATATCCTATTCAGCATCATGAAATATGTACAAACTGAGGACAAAAAGGTAAAAACCTAAAACAAGAAAACTAGCTCATATAACATTGATCATCTAATCATATCATCACCATATATTATATATATATGACTACCATACACATACATATACATATACATGATACTAGTAGCCGAGGGAAATCGGCCTTTCGGCCAAGCCTAGCGGCGATCGGGACCGGCGGTGGTGGTGGCGGTTATTAATCTCCGCCACGACTGGGCGGGGCTCCGGCAGCTGCAGGGAGAGGTGGTTGATCCTCTCGATCTCTTGCTTTATTTTTCGAACTTGGCTGTGAATTCCCACTCCTTTATACATATCTTCTTCTTCATCTTTGTTGTTGTTGTTGATTTTCCTTTGCTCCATATTAGGCATAGTTAGAGAGAGAAAGTTAGAGAGAGAAAACCACACCTAACAAACAACTACTTGTGGAAGTTTGTTCTAACTATGAAATAAAGAAAGCCAAATTATGGGGTTGTGTTTATATAGGTTTGATTGGGAAAATGGGGACATGAAATCTTCATGAATTGATGAGGTGCTATTTATTGGTAATAATACTCACAGATTTTGTATCTATCTATAGGGTGATATTTTACATAAATACCCATTTTACTTGATTAAATATTGGTGTGGAAGGATATTTTTATTATTAATTTTTTATTTTTTTCTATGTATATTAGCCCAAGAAGATCTTTTGAGATTATCTCTTTGAACTCGAGATTTTTAGTGATTAATGTTTGACCAAAAAAATTAAATATAAAATGAAAGAAAAAAGTCTTGGGGGTTACGTGGAATGAAACTATTGGGTGAGGGGTTAAATGCAAGAATTTGGTGTTCATGGTATTTATTTGATTTCACATATGTTTGTTTAGTTAGTAATGGTCAGAATTGGGCAGATGGCCTAAAATCCTAGTTTCTTCGTTGTGGGATTCTATTATTGAACTTGTCGACTTGGTGTTTTTTCTAGGAAATGTGGTAAAATAAATAATTGACCAATAAGGCAATGGGAACACTGATTTTTGTTTTCGTTTGACCTCGAGATTTTAGTGATTAATGTTTGACCTTAATTTTCTTAGACTACTAGTAGAAATTTTATATTGTTTAACAACCAAATTATACGTAATTTTATATGTGATGCTGCTCCGAGTTGGGTTGATCAGCCCAATGGTTTTGAAGAACGGTCTCCAAGTTCAGTTACGGGTATACCGATGGTCTCTACCATGTGTCTAAAGGGATCAAACATTAGAATCGAGCGAAAATCTTGCAAAACAAATCGAGACACTATAAGTGACTCAAGTCAGATATCGAAATTGATATTTTTGCAAATACTTAAGAGCAACTCCAATTGAAGAACCAAATGGAGTATTAAATTACAAAACTACCAATTTGATTCCCCAAAGTGAAAATATTTCACACGCATTAAAGTGGTAGTTAATTTGATACTCAATCTTCTAGAGGGGCAAAAAAAGAGGAACCAAATATTCCTTAAAAATAGCTCTAGAAAATTCAACAGAAAAAATAAATTAAATCTCAATAAATTTCAATAAAAAATAAATAATAATTTATTTAATGCCTATGAGTCGGAGCATATGGATGTTTTAAAAGTAACAAAGTATTATCTCAAGTATCCATTGAGTGTTTGATGCTTCATTTTAATACCTCTACATTGGAGTTGTTCTAAATATATCCCAAAATAGGATATATCTTATTAAGTGATGCATAGATAATTCGATGAAGATACAGCTTATTTTAATGGCTAATGAAAATTCGTTTGTTTGTAGTGTTTAATTAATTAATTAATGTGGACAAAAAATAATATATTGGGCTAAGAAAAATGAAGGGAAATATGAAATGGAATTATTGTGGACCCAAACTTACCTAAGGCGGTTAAGTTTGTTGGCGGTGGGCCGCCACGTTAAAGCATTCTCCGTTTGCCACGTGGCGGCCATCGAGGTTGCTTTTGTGTCCAAACTTGGATAGCATCTCCACGCTAGATTTTTCTGGGAATAAAGAAAAAAATTAAATCCACGTGGCGATTTACTTGGAAAAACCATTTTTTATTTTGAAATTCAATTTCGCTTTCTCTTATTGACAAATGCCACCCCTTGTAATTGTTTGAAAATTTATCAAACTGTACAAGAACAAGATTTAATCGAGGCCAATACAACTTGTGTTTGAACTTAATTTGATTAGCAATTCAGTCGAGTTCGAATGAATTTTAATCGAGCTAAATACAACCTTTATTTGAACTTCAAAAATATTCCTTTGAATGAATAGGCCGCTATCGGCGTCAAAAACGCATTGGGGCGCCGCAATTTAATCCCGATGCAAAATTCATCGCCTTCAACGCGAAAGGCAGCTTTAAAGTTCAAAAAACGGAGAGAATCGTTAGAACACTTAAAAGTGATTAGAAATAAATTAAGGGGCTTTAAGATATAGGTCCCTGGTGACAAAACTTATTAGAACTAAATGACAAGTCAAACTAAACATTTGTTTCACATCCTTTATAAATTTCATTACAAAAATGCCCTTCATACACAAAAAATAAAATTTGCACCAAGTAATATTTAAACTGTATTTATCATTTATATTCTGCTTAATATTTTAAGTTTTGCATCTAACATTTTTGTATTTTTTTTGCATTTTCTTATTATTTTCACAATTATAATAATCTATTTTTTCCTTTTTTTCTTACATAATATTGAAAATTATAATTTTTTAATTTTTTTTTCGGCATAGTCATCTACAGAAAATCGTAGAAAGGTTGTAGTATACCGTAGTCACGTATAGACGCCCGTAGATTACTGTAGTAATCCGTAGTCACAATATTATTAAAACCCTAACTCCTCATTTTAACCCTAGCCGCCAGACACCATAGACACCCATAGACATGAAACGAAAAATCTTAGATCTGCCCCACTAAACCATAAATCTCCTCCACCAAACCCTAGATCCACGATGCCAAAGTCAACCACGTCGCTAAAGATGCCACAAACCCAACCCACGCTGCCGTTGCCATCCCCACCCCTAACATTGTTGCGCCACCGACACTGAGCGTCGCCGCCGTCCTCGTGCCCAAGAAGCGTCACCACCGGCGCCTCCCCTCTAGAGCAGCCACCGCCATCGCAGCCCCCCCACATGCCGCTGCCGCCTCCATCTTCACCCCCCACATGCCGCCACCGCCTCCATCGTCATTGCCACCATCTCCCTTCAAACCATGGAGTGGAGTGGTGAAGAGAGAGAGCTTGAGAGAAATAACTCGCACGAGAGATATGGAGAGAGCCAGAGAGCGAGACGCGAGACAGAGAGAGAACGAGAATAATAAAAGAGAAAAAATAGATCTGAGAAATAAACGTGAATATGTGGTTATAAGTTTTAGGGTTAAGGGCAAGATAGGGATTAAAAAAAATTAAGGATATGGGTCATATATTATTTCAATCTAAGGATTTAATTAAAATATTAGATTTAAAGTTGTCATTTAGTTCAAATTAGGTTTCAAATTAGGGACTCCTAGCATATTAACCCATAAATTAATTACCTCTAATGATGATTAGACTATAAATAGTTAAGAATAAATTAAACATCATAAATTGGGCCTTTTTATGGAATTGGGCCTCTACATCAATAAAGTTGAAATATTGGACAACAATTTTTACATTTGGGCTTTGATTTAAAATTTCGGCCTGTCCATTAGAGTTATTAATATTAATTAATATATTTCTTGGAGTTAATTTGAATATTTAAAAATAAATTATCTTATTTATTTATCGGATTATTAAATAACTACGTCGTCTGTAAGTCGAAATAGAAAAAATATAATTTTTTTAATGAAATTATTAATTAATTGATTAATAAATAAATTAATAAAGACTAATCATTATAGTATTGCTATTAAAAGATATGAGAGCATATCTAATCCTAGTTATATGATTATATCTAATTTATGAATAATGTTTCAGCAAATTATTTTTTCAATACACTTCTCCAATCAAATTATGCATATACTACCACTTTATTTTATTATTTTATATCATTAAAAAAATAAAAGAAAATATAATATTATGTGCTGATTTTTAAGCTTTAACTTTTCATTAGGTCATAGGAGATTTTTCTCAGGATGCGGGCGCCACTTGTCTTTTTCTGCTTTGTCCACTGCTGCTGAGTTGGACCACTTCAAAAGTTGTTGGAATTATTTCATGAATAAGGCTGATTTTTTGTTATTTATATATTAATCATCAAATTACAAATAAAATAGATATAAAAATAAAAATAACTGATTTAAAATGCCAATTTCTGTCTGTATTTCTGCTTGATATCATCAGATTTTTAATTGTTAACCAATAATACTATTTCGATGACTGCGAGGGCATCATTGCCTCGATGATATCAGGATGGAAAGGGTAGTGTTAGGTCACGGGTTTCATTCCCATTGGATTCGATTGTAAGCCAATTTATAAGGTCAATTAAAAAGACAAGAAAAAGAAAAGAAAAAAAAAACTATTTCAGAGGGATTTATTTGTTAAAAAATAACTTTAATTCAAAACAAATAGAGTGTATGAAGTTTAAATACAAATTAGTTTTGAAAAGTATTTATTTGAAGAGAATAAATACATTTTATAAGGAAAATACCTAATAGAATTACTCTCCATCTTAATAGTCTTCCTAGAAAAAGACAAACTTTCCTCCACTTGGTATTTAACAATAAATAACATTATCATTTGTAAGAAAACTATGCCCTAACTACTCTTTTGTATCCATTGTGTCTTTTTTAAGAATTTGGAACCCATAGAGTTTGAGTGGCGGAGCCAGCATAGAAGTAAAGGGGTCATGACCCCCAAAATATCTTGAATCCTTATTTTGTACGTGATTATATGAAAAAAATACGTGCATAACTGGTATCCGATCAATCAATCATATAAAGAGAATTTGTGAATTAATTACTGACCATACGATGGAAATAGTTGAATCGTTCAATCAATCATGCAAAGAAATCAATTAATATTTATTTTTCTCTAATAATTGTGCTACAAATTAATTAACGATTTATCATATAGAACAAAATAAACGTACTTAATTTTGAAATTTTATAACCAAAGGTTTCTAAATTTGGTTGGATTAAATTTAATACAAAGGACGGTCGAGTCAACACTTTATTTTATTTAAAATGATCGAAACCAAGAACATGACAAAGAGCATTGGCCCATATTGTAACAACCATATTGTTTAAGCACATGCACGTGCATGATTGATGTGGAATTTGTTTAATCTTTTTTCGGTAAATTACAAAAAGACCCCTGAACTTAGACTAAATTACAAAAAAAAACTCCCTCGTCTAATCAGTTATTACCAAAATCCCCATAGTGTTTGTATATGTCTTACACCGATCCCTTTACTATGTGATTTTCATGGATTTTTTTGATTCCATTGAATATTTTTTCGAAAAAATATCAATTCTACCCTTGCAAACGTGACATTTTTTTATGATACTTTTTGAAGACATAAATTACTCTAGGATAATGATAATACTAAAATGTTGTGAATGTCTTAATTAAGAAGAAAAAGGATTCCACGTAAAGACCACCATTAGGGTAACTTTTGTGTTTAAAAGGTAGTATAAAGAAATGCCCGTCTGCAGGGGTAGAATTGAAGTTTTTTGGGGAATATTCCCTCTGATTAAAAATATTTCGTGAAAAATCACATCTGAAGGGGATCGGTGTAAGACGAAGACAAACATCGAGAGAATTTTAGTAATTACATATAGGTGGGGCTTTTTTTTTTAATTTAGCATAAGTTCAGGGCATTTTCGTAATTCACACATTTTTTATTTCACTTTAATTTTTATATATTTTCCAATAAAAAATAAATCAAATCATGCACTCAAATTTTGAAATAGATCAAGCTAGTGCCTAGATCATGGTATGATTGCATTGAACTGAGTCACTTTTGGTGAACTATAATTAATTAATTTATAGAACTCTCTCTTTTGTTGTTTTTAGATGCAACAATTTGAAATCAAGGAACTAATTAATTCAATTTGTAGGTATACATAAACATGAGTTAATATATATTCATCTATAGATTTAATTCATCATCACAAATTTGATATACATGTAATACTGTTTTAATTTATTCATTCAATCATAACCAAGTCCTAAAGTTTGAAGCTGAAAGAAAAAAAATATATATATCTCTAATTTGCAATTTTAAGGCAGGGCGAAATCGATGTTCTGCTCGATGAAATATTAAATTATTGAACTAATAATTTTGTACGCATTTTTATTGAGTCATAGACTGAAATTAAGTTATTATTTAAACGAGGTTATTAATTTATCGATATATATATATATTATACGGTGAGTTGTTGGGGAGAAACATCAAAGAAAGAGACGAAAGTTGGACCGGGATTCAACTTTCAGACAATGAAACGAGTCGTGACGCGTCAGAACACATTCATTTAATTTGTTATCATTAATATGTTCACTCTTTCAAACAATTAATTAATATTATTATTTAAACAAAATTCTGCAGACAAAAAACGCCCACCATTTTTGTGCCTTTTTCTTATCCATTAAATTTCATCCCAAGTATTCGTTTGTGTGAGTCAAGTGCAGAGAAAATAGAGGGAAATAAGAGAAGGTGTTTTATGTATTTTTATCTGGAAAATTAAACTATATATATGAACTTATAATTAAGTTACTGATATATATAGATATAGATATATATATATATATATACGGATATAGATACATGTTACATATGGCTGCTCGGACCGGTAGACAATTCCAGAGGTACAACAAAGATCATCGACTCGTTGTAGGGTAATTTTTCAATTTTTGAAATACTCTTATTATCTCTCGGTTTTTTCCTTATGCTTTTATGTCGAATTTTACGAGATTATATTCTTTTTTTTTTAGGGATTATATTCTACTATACATACATATACATATTTTGCCTTCTAGTAGAAACCTAATGGAGGATACCTATTTTTGAAATTCTGCTCATTTAATTATACATACATGTAATTAAATACGTAAGGCGAAATTAAATAATAAATGTCGTGTGTTTGACTAATATAATTATGCAGATGCATTCCGTATAGATACAAGAAGGGTAGGGAGGAAGAAGATGAGTTGGAAGTTCTTGTGATTAGTTCAAAGAAAAGTCAAGCTATGATGTTTCCTAAGGTGATCAATATAATTCACACTTCTCTCATTTAATTTTTGCACTATAAAACAAGAATATTGTATGTGGAAGAACTTATAAAAATATAATTTAGTAAATGTTTTCGATGATTTCAATTCGTCGATCTTGTCACAAATGGAACGACTTCGTTAAGATTTGGATTTTGGATGATAAAAACTTATTACAATGTCACATGCATGTTAATTTTTTTTTTGCCGAGATTTCAAGGTATCTATTTTACGAACTAATTAACCGACATCCTATATTAACATGTTTCTTTAATTTGAGGAACTTAGTTAAATATATCGTCTTATAGACGCTAAAAACACGAGTCTAAATATAGATTTAATCATGTAAAGAATTAAACAATTATGCAAGTGCACGTATAAACATATTACATGTCCACAGAGCTGAAAGGATCAAATTATCGAACTAATAATTTAATACGATTTCACTAAGTCCGGACGGAGAAAAAAAAAGTTATGTAAGCGATTTTATTAATGCATGTGTCGAGGTTCTACTGTATGTATGTATGTATGCATGTATGTAATGTATGTAATGTATGTACGTATGTATGTGTATATAGTTGAGAGGTCATTAATTAATATGTACATTAAAATAGGGTGGTTGGGAAGTTGATGAATCAGTGGAAGAAGCAGCTTCTCGTGAGTCATTGGAAGAAGCTGGGGTTCTTGGAAATATCCAGGTTTTTTATTTAATATGCATGTTTAATTGCAATTAATATGTTTAATTGCAATTAATTAAAATGAAATAATTGCAGTGTGAATTAGGGAAATGGGTATTTAAAAGCAAGAGCGGTGAACTGTACCACGAAGGCCACATGTTTCCGTTGCTTGTCACACAACAACTTGATCTCTGGCCGGAACAAACTGCCCGGAGAAGACAGTGGGTAATAAATTATATTCTGCATTTATTAATTATAGAATATAATTAATATTTAATGACGTCATAATTAATTGGATTATGGTTTGAAATAATAAAATTTGCATGTGTAGATGAGTGTGGCTGAAGCAAAAGCGGCGTGCGAGCAGTGGTGGATGAAAGAAGCTTTGGATATATTGGTTAATAGATTAATCCTTAAACGTGGAATTTGAAATTTTCTATCTACATAATAATGTATGAAAATTTGTTAAAGATCTGATATCATATGTGAATTGTCTATAAGGACCATGTAATTTAACAAAATTTAGGTGTGCTTTTAAGGACAAATCGGTTTTCTCTTGTTTAACGAAATGGTAGTATTTAGTTGCGAGTTTTACCTTTTGTAGCGAGGTTGAGTGAATACGAATATCGTCAACCATAATTTTCACTAGCACCCCTACAATCGAGTCAATAGAACTTAATAATGGCAAGTGAACAAGATCAGTTAAATATGAACTTGCATGTAGTCTTTTGGGGTTATTTATATGTTACACCCCGTGAAGATTATATTGGGTGATTTTTTACCGTTGATCTACACACCAATGTGGATGTGTGTGTGTTTGTGTGTGTGTGAATGGTAAAGATCTACCCAATGTAGTATAAAATAGATCGTATTTTGGAAAGTTTGAGGTAAAACTAGGGGCAAAAATGGAACAATTTTTTCGGAGTATTTTAACTTTTTTAAAAGTGAAAAATTAATTCTAATTTTATTCCGAAAAAATCCAAAAAAAAAGAAAAGACGGAATTCAAAATTCCTGAAAATGCAATAAAAAAATATAATTTTAAAATCAGATATATTCGGATCGAAATCGAAAAAAGTTCAAATATTCCATTCTAGGGGCGAAAACGGCACAATTTTTCGGAAGTATTTTAACTTTTGTGGAAGTGAAAAATTAATTCTAATTTCATTCCAAAAAAATCGAATTCGAAATCCCTGAAAATGCAATAAAAATTATTGTTTTAAAATTAGAAATATTCGGATTGAAATCGAAAAAAATATTGAAAATTCCATTCTAATTTTTATCCCTGGGTAAAACCGTAAAATATCGAAAAAAACATTAACCGGAACAACAGACCTAATTGTATTTGGATTAAATAAACCCTTCGTCGTCACTGCAACTGTGCTACCATCCTCAAATCACCCTCACAAAAATTACATCCAAATGTTCAATCCAAACAGTTACCTCAAACTCCTTAAATCCCAGCTGCAAAACCCTAAATTTCATTCACCCATTTCACGTATCCACAATCGCACATCAAGAAACCCTCCAATCAACAACCCTGCAATTCAGTTCATCCTAAATGAAGCTGAAGAATTCCAATCCTACAAAACCCAATTCGCTTCTCCCGATCAGAAGCAAAAAGATGAATCATTTCCGCCAGATAAGGAGAATAGAGATACATCCAGCACCCAGATTTCACACCCGTGGCGTGAATGGGTTGATTTAATGGAGAAGTTGCTGAAAGATGGATACTTTGACGAAATTGGAAACCCTTTTACGAAGAATAATGGCGAATTGGGCAGTAAAGAGGCGAATTTGATAAGGACTGCTTCGTTGAATTTCTCCCGCGACCATTACCAACTTATAAGGTACCATAAAAAACTGTTTGTTTTCATTTCATGAGAAGTGAGGGTATGCAGACTAACTGTTTGATGTGGGGACTGACTGAAATGAAATCAAACTTTCACTATCTAAAATATTTTTTTTCCAGCTTGTAGAGGGTACTTCTGTTTGTACCTTAGTCTTGATATATGCAGTTATTTTCTTGCAAATCTGCCATTTGTGTCCAGTTCTAAGAAGTAACTAGTGTTTTGGTTCGTTTTCTTCAAATTCCGAATGCGTATTTGTTTAAATAGTAAGAATTGTTGTTTAATATTGAAACCGAGCCTCTGTTGTGCAGACACTTCTCGCGGAAAGACATAATGGTAATTGCTGGGCCCGGATGTCCAAGCACAGACAGGAAAGTTGTCAACTCTGGAAAACGGCTAAGGGCTCACTTAGGAATCGACGAAGGAAATGTACGTTTTAATGGCACCATTTGACTCGGGAAAGTAGTTTAATGCTAATAGTAGTCTATGATAAGATAATCTGAATCTATTCTAGTAGGTTTGCAGCTCTTGCATTTTGAGAGGCGATTGTGATAGAGCTTACGTGAAGGCACGTGTGGATGAAGGTCTTAGAACTGTGGACGTTATGCGTTTTTTACTAACGTATGGTCTTGATCCCATTATTGGTTCGGTGGAAAACAAGCCATGCTTAAAGAAAAGTGTTAAAGAATCTGTAAGAACATTGTTGAAACAAATGGCGGGCATTAGGGTCGAGGGGCATGATAGCGAACCACCGAAAGTCAAAACTCGAGAGTTGACCCAAGAAAACGACGTTGACCAAGAAAGGAGTCGAGTTGATGTTCCCATGAAGCAAGGTGATTGGATTTGTCCCAAGTAAGATATGCAAGTCGAGCTTATCCCGATTATCTTTCTTGAAGTTGTTAAAATTTATTAAAATATTGCTGATATTTTTTCTAGATGCAAGTTCCTTAATTTTGCCCGAAATGTCAAGTGCTTGAAGTGTAATGTCTTCTTCGAGGAAAGGCTGAAAAAATTAGCAGAAGAACAGGAGGACCTTCCGTTGAAGAAAGGAGACTGGAAATGTGACAAGTAATTATCCATTTTGAAATAAATCGCTTATCTATCTAATTTGTTTTTTAATTCTTCTGAATTTTCGTTGTTTTCTTACGAGGTTTTAACTTTTTTTCGCAGATGCAAGTTTTTGAACTTTGCGAGAAACACGAGGTGTTTGCAGTGCCAAGAGAAGCCTCCGAAGCGGCAACTAAATCCCGGGGAGTGGGAATGTGATTCGTAAGACTTGCCCTATAAGTTCATGTGAAATTACAATACTAACCCTGCTCTTGTTTGACGTTCGGTTTGTACCTGCAGGTGTAATTACGTCAACTTCAGAAGAAACATGTTATGTCTGAAATGCGACCACAAGAGACCAATTGCATCCCAACACGTTTACGATAATCTACAGAATCATCATCAAACACAGTCTTGGTTCGGACAAGAGAAGCAAAGTAAGTATGTGTATAGTTACGATGATTCGTTGAAATTTGTCGAAAGTGAAAGTCAAGATGAGTCGAGCTCAAGGAATAACGGGCCCGATTTTCTGGACTTTCCGGTAATTGGAGGTAAGAGCGGCTTTTCCAAGAGTGTCCAAAATCAAGAATCACTGAAAATGGAAATAATCGAGAAAAGCCGAACTGTCGGTTGTGATAATGACAAATATAACCCTAGCATAATTCGTGGGACGAGTGAATCTCTTGCATGTGATGAAGATGATGATGACATGGCTGAATGGTTTGAAGGTAGAAGAAAGTCAATGTAATGAAACATCAGATCTCCACACAGCAGTTGTGAAACATCATTTCTATCTTGAATCTGATTTTGTATTAATTTTCGTGTGAGAGGTGAGACTATTAATGAGCATGTTCTTTTATTTTAATGTTTTAGGTATGAAATTGATAATTAGGCTATCAAACTTGATTAGTAATAAATAACAGGGTAAATTACGGACATCCCCCGAGGTAATGTTAAATTACGAAACCCCCTAATCTTTGGATAATTACAACCACCTCTCAATTATGAATATTTTTACACGTCCATTCTTACGGTGTCAAATTTAGTGGAATATTTCTCCAATTGTACCTGTTTTATATCATTCGAGCTCCTCATTTTGAAATAAGATGATCATAAAATGTGTCTCTTAGCTTGTAAATAACAGATTGTGGTGCATGAGAAACTGTATTTTTGCACAAAACAAATACAAATTAGAGAATATTCAACAAATCTAGAAGATTCTATTGAATTTGACAACACAAGGGTACACGTATAAAAAGATTCATAGTTGATTGATGGTTGTAATTACCCGAACATGAAGGGTTTTTTTCTAATTTGACTTTACCTCGGTCGTAATTTACTTATAATATGTGTATTATTTTGTTCTCCTCAATAGTTTATTAATATTATAATATATATATGTTATAGTGGGTCCAATTCGTCTGCAACAAGTGGTTGCTTGGTAGGGTATGCGAAATGACAGTTTTGTTCCTCTCTTGCGATTTTATTATATATATCCTCAAAAAGCGTAAAAAAAAAGGTAGTCTGTACTGAAATGAAATAAAGTCGCTACATTAACAGTACCGATTTCTCTCAAGTTACAACAGCCAGTAACACTTCAATCAAAGCTAACCCCCCCTTTTTCCCTCTTTCTCTATCTAAAACCCCCCATTTTCAATTCATCCAGAAAATTCCTCCACCCTTTAATTAAATTCATCCAGAAATGGGTTCTGAAGAATCATCACGTGTTGTCGGTAAGCTTTGAAAACCCTAATTTTTGTCGTCCTTTTTGTTTTTTTTTTTTCCTTTACATTTTTTGTGGTGCACAGTTCAATTTGGGGATTAGGGATACTGAACTGAGTTATCTGAATACGTATATTCGGCTGTGGATTACAGTGAAAATCTGTTGTGTGTTTTTGTAATTCGTCAATTTGTTTTGTGCAAGTTGATCTGTAGTTTGTTTTAAGTTGCGGAAATGTGAGTATTGATGTCTGTTAGTGGCGATTTCATTACAAATTAAGGATGAGGATTAACTTAGTTCTAGCTACACTTGTGAGTCTTCTGGAGTTTTTTTTTTCCAAATGCAAGTTTGTTTACGATTAAATTTCAGTGAGTTTACGTAGCAGGTGAATGTCAGGCAAGTAGACATGGAAAAAGGATTTAGGGTTAGCCAATAATTAGTAGATATTAATTTTAGTAGCTTCTTCATTTGAAGAGGATAAAGATAAGTAGCCACAAATACTCCCGTGTAACTTCAAATTTTGTAGTGATAACGGAAATCAACTACCTAAAAGAGGCCGTCTAGAGATTTTGAAGGAACAAATTCGTAGCAACTTACCAGCGTCAATCGCGTATACTTCAGTCTTGTGAATTAGTAATTTTTAAGTATCACCACTTGATCGATTCAGCACCGATCACAGCTCAAGATCGATCACCAGTCTTAGGGTGGATTTTTTTTTTTAATACCGACAACCAAGTCCACCCAACAGTTACTGGGCAGGTCAAAAGGTTAAGTGGGATTGAGTTGGTTTGAGTTAAATGGCAAGTGAAAATCGGTTCTTTTTGGGATGAAAAATGGTTTCGGGTTTTTTGGGGTTTGTCAGGCTCCAACCAATGCACCTCGTTTTGACCTACCCCACCCTTTTCTCGTCTTCGGTATAGGCGGGGGCAGAAGTTGCTAGAAAGGGGTGGGACAAACTGGCAGACATATCTGGTTTTTTTTTTTTCCTACTGTTCGACATGTATTTACCAACCTGTCCCTATACCAACTTCGTCACTGAGCACTGAATTACTGATAATAAATATCGGACAACCCTTTTTGCCTAGTATGTTTAATTTATGCCTCCTAGTATCAGGTCCGAAACTTCAAAATAGAAACAATAATGCAACTTTGAAATATGACATGGTATCAGGTCCAAAACAGTTAATTGGTTTCAATTTGTGGGATGTTGTAATCTTATTACTTGGGTAACTAAGAGAATCGAAATCTGGACGGGTTGTCATAGAATAAAATAGAATTTATGGTCGGATTTTTCTGATTATCCGATGAGGAGAATTACACACTGTACGTTGGATTGGGTAATAAAGATGCTGATAGTAACAATTAAACATTTTCTTGGTGATGGAAAGTGTCATCTATATTATTTATACTACTAAATTTTATTACCATGTTACTATTTTGTGACGATGAAGTTCCACTCATTCGCTGACTATAAATGTTTGTCTATAATATGGTAATTCTTACGACCAAATTATATGAATTTACAGTGCCGAGGAACTTCCGTTTATTGGAAGAGCTAGAGAGAGGAGAGAAGGGAATAGGCGATGGAACTGTTAGCTACGGAATGGACGATGCTGATGATTTGTACATGCAATCTTGGACTGGTACCATCATTGGTCCTCCTAATGTTAGTCTTCTTTAAACTACGCATTTAACATTTTGAACATTTCTTTAATGTTTTTCTTTTATAATGAATTCAGTCTTTCGGTGGTGTTTGGTGAATCAATAATTTCATAGTGAGCTTGAAATGGTGTGCGCAATTTGAGTTGAATTCACACATATAAAGTAACTAAATCGTACTATGATGGTGTTTGCATAAGCTTTGCAAACTGATTGAGGTCTTTTTTTTCACTTATAATAAAAAAAAATAAAAGAATTTGCAACACTAGCTTTTGCGTCTCTAAAAATAAGTAGCTTCAAGCTAAATAAGCAGTAAGCCAGAATCTGAGAAGCGCCCTCGGAGCTGATTTTCTAATTTCAAAAGCACTTATGTAATTAACTAGTAAATGCATTTGGCATTTTCGTCCTTATTTTTATTTCTTTTCAGTTCATTCACTTTCGTTTCCCAATTCTTCCATTTCATTTTAAAAGATGCGTCCGTTGAATATTTATTTGTTATTGGGCATTGCTAAAACAATTAATTTTCATCTAATATAATATTAATATTGATATAGCATGGTAATTGAATGAAAAAAATTCCCTCTAATTGAGAAACCTGTTTCAACAGACCGTACACGAAGGGCGCATATACCAATTGAAGCTATTCTGTGGGAAGGATTATCCAGATAATCCGCCAAGTGTAATGTTCCAGACTCGGATTAATATGAGCTGTGTTAATCACGAAACCGGTGTCGTAAGTGCTGCTTCTTTTTCTTCGAATAGACATTTATGTGATTATATTATATGATTTAAAATAATTTTTTTTAATTAATAAAATATTACAGGTCGAGCCTCGTCTCTTCCCCATGCTTTCTGATTGGCAAAGGGAGTATACAATGGAGGATATATTGATGCAGTTAAAAAAAGATATGATGTCACCCCAAAACCGTAAATTGACTCAGCCTCCTGAAGGTATATATTATTATTATCTCTTTCTTTTTTAATTAAATATGCAAAATCGAAATTTGTTAAATTCTAAGGGTGTAATTTGATTTATTTGTAATTTGATTAATTAGAATCTATGTTATTTACAGGAAATGAGGATGCTAGAGTTGACCAAAAGGGTATAGTGCTGAGATGTTGCATCCTCTAAAATAGGTACATATATATATATATTTGAACTGTGAAATTCCAGGTAACATGTTGGGTATTTTAGTAATATATTTATATATATACTTGGTTTAATTTGAAGAAATGTAATCTAAGTATCTGCATTGTGTATTTATGTGACAAATTTATATCTGCTATTACTGAATTTGGCTGAATGATTTATTTTTTATTTACAAGATTAGTTATCCAATTAATAAATATTAAATAGGAAAGCTCTTCCTCATTTGTGAAGCAAAAGGCAACAGTGGGAGACCAGAGTCAAAACTCCAAAGCTTGATTAGGCAGATGATTAAAGCTTTAAGCAATTGTGTTTAGGGTGGGTCCCACGTTTCATTTGATATTACTCCTCTGCATTATGATTATCCGTTATCCGTAGTTACTAAAATTCCCCCGGTGTTTGTTTTTGTCTTACACCGACTCACTTATGGTGTAATTTTTTGCGGTATCTTTTTGATTTCAGTTAATATTTCCTGAAAAATATTAGTTCTACCTCTGCAAATGTGATATTTCTCTATGCAACCCTCAAATGGATGATGGTGTACTAAAAAGTTTTGTAGATGTTATTTGAGAAGAATAAATATTCCGTGCAAAGGAATCCTTAAGGTTAATTTTGGTTTTAAAAAATAGTATAAAAAAATTGTCACGTCTGTAGGGTAGAATCGGCATTTTTTGGGATATATTATTTGGAATTAAAAAGATTTCATGAAAAATTACACTATAAACGGGTTGGTGTAAGATGGAAATATACGTTGGGGTATGTTTATAATTACGGATAAGTTGGAGTGTTTTTTATAATTTAGCCTAAGTTGGTTTTCGTAATAGACCAGTTCAATTAAGAAACTTCGTGCTAAACAAACATTAGACTGTCCAAAACAAAATATATAATCAAGGGGTAATGGCAAATAGGCCCATGACAAGGGCACTTAATTAAAATAGGGACATCCAACTTTTTTGTCTTTCAAATAAATCCACCCCATTCAAACTTATTTGCAAATAAGGAAAAACCCTTTATATATACCAAAATTACCCCCAATTCATTGAAACACAATTCAACTCCAATTTCATGATTTACACCCCAATTTAGCCCAATTTTATCAATTAACCAATTTTAACCCAAATTTCAATTTTTGACCCCAATTTTAACCCTAATTCTTATCAATTCCACCAATTATGCTCTAACTTCTTAAATATTACACATTGACCCCGGATTTAAACAAATATATCACATTAACCCCCAAAACTTTATTTTTTCAGAAAATAAATTTGTTTCTGAAATATTTTTTTTTCCGGCCAGATTCCGGCGTTGACCGCCGGAGACCGCCGGTCTCCGGCGTTGACTTTTTTTTTTTTGTTTTTTTTTTTTGAATTTTTGTTTTCCTGAAATTTTTTTCCGGCCGGTCAACGGCCGTTGACCGCCGGGTTTCCGGCGTTGACTTTTTTTTTTTTTTTTTTTTTTTTATTTTGTTTTTTCTTAAAAAAAATATTTTAATTAATTTTACTGTCTTGGCTGCTAAATTACTGTCTCCGGCAGCTATTTAACTGTCGGAGACAGTAATTTAACTGTTAATTGACTGTTTTTTTTTTTTTTCTTCAAAAATATTTTAATTAATATTACTGTATTCGTTGCTAAATTACTGTCTCCAGCAGTTATTTAACTGTCGGAGACAGTAATTTAACTGTTAATTGACTTTTTTTATTCTTAAAAAAAATATTTTTAATTAATATTACTGTATTCGTTGCTAAATTACTGTCTCCAGCAGTTATTTAACTGTCGGAGACAGTAATTTAACTGTTAATTGACTTTTTTATTGTTAAAAAAAATATTTTTAATTAATATTACTGTATTCGTTGCTAAATTACTGTCTCCAGCAGTTATTTAACTGTTAATTGACTTTTTTATTCATAAAAAAAATATTTTTAATTAATATTACTGTATTCGTTGCTAAATTACTGTCTCCAGCAGTTATTTAACTGTCGGAGACAGTAATTTCACTGTTAATTGACTTTTTTTTTTTTTTTTAATTTTTGTCCTTACAAAAAAAATTATTTTAATTAATATTACTGTCTTAGATGCTAAATTACTGTCTCCAACAGTAATTTAACTGTCTTAGACAATAATATTAATAATATTACTGTTCGGAAAAATAATATTCATAATATTACTGTCCCAAACAGTAATATTACTGTATGAGACAGTAATTTATTAGTCAAGACAATAATATTAATTAAAATATTTTTTTTCTAAGAAAAAACAATTCAAAAAAAAAAAAAAAAAAAAAAAAAAAAGTCAACGCCGGAGACCGGCGGTCAACGGTGGTTGACCGGCCGGAAAAAAAAAAATCAGGAAAAAAAAAATTTCAAAAAAAAAAAAGTCAACGCCGGAGACCGGCGGTCTCCGGCGGTCAACACCGGAATCTGGCCGGAAAAAAAACATTTCAGAAAAAAAATTATTTTCTGAAAAAAAAAAAGTTTTGGGGATTAATGTGATATATTTGTTTAAATTCGGGGTCAATGTGTAATATTAAGGAAGTTAGAGCATAATGGGTGGAATTGTTAAGAATTATATTATTGAGGGTATTTTAGACTAAAGACATGGGGATGGGCTTAATTGAGATACTGTTTTTTTTGTGGACTAAAATGCATTTAAGTCCCACATTTCGGGATGTTAAATTGGTAAAACCGAATCGAAATTTCGGTACGCCAACATTATATACCGTTTACCGAACTGAATATACGATTTGGTTTGGTAAATAACCAAATTATATAAAAATATTTAAAAGGACGGGTAACTGTAATTACCCAAACAAATTTTTTTTTTTTTTTTTTGTAATTTGACCGTACCTCAGGGGTTGGCCGTAATGTGCCCCTGAAATATTTGATTCTGACGTAGATATGAGTTATGACGGGTCTTTCAAAAGATAACGTTACCATAAATAAATTAAAAAATAAAAAAAGAAGAAAGTTTTCCGAAAAGAATGCAAAAATAGTTATTAATATGCGGTCACAATTAAATGGATTTGGCAAAAGCTAAAGTAAACTTGTTAGTTTTACAGATGAACATGATACGTGCAAGTTCAATGATGCGTGGAGTGCATTGCATGCCTTGTCCTAAATTAAGCAAATACAACAAAATTAAAAAATAAAAATAATAAATTAAATTTGAAATAAATATAATCATATATATTATATACATCCATCCGTAACAAATGTGGTCAAATGAATATATACATATATATAATATATTCATGTGGCTTCAATCCTTAGGCAAGTCCATCCTCTGGAACAAAAAGCAAAATATGATTAACTTTTGGTCCAAGTATTTATGGGATATATGAAAAGAAAAGCATTAATACTCACTTTTATCCCAAGTATAAACTTGTCGTATTTAATAATTAATTATATAGTGGGTTTTTTTCCTTCACTATTGATTATATATATTTTTATTTAACTTTCCGTCAATTTTTATTTATTTTCAATCAGCTTTATTTGTTAAATGTTTATGATAAATTAATAAACATTATTGATATGAAAAAAATGTGTATTTTCTCTAGTTTAAGTTATGTTTTTGGTTCTCAAGATTTTTTTAAAAACAATTTTACACGCTCACATAACTCACCGATACTGTATAATCTATAATTATAAGGCCTTCAAAAATTAAATTCTTGATATACTATTATTTTAATTAATGTTATTTTATTTAAATTCAATAAATATATTTTGACCGTACATTTCTGGTTCCCACCCTTGCCCAAACAAACCTTCACCAAATTACAACATTTTCTTCTAGTTAAACCCTTATTTAATGCTAAAAATATGTTATGTTTATTTCCTTTTGGGTAAATTACGGCAAAATCCTGAGGTGAGGTTAAATTATGAAAAAGTCTTTCATGTTTGGGTAATTATAACTAACTCCCCAACTATGAATCTTTTTACATATTCACCCCTATGATGTCAAATTCATTAATATAATCTTCTATATTCCGTGGAATGTTCTCCAGTTTGTAGTCGTCTTGTACAGAAAATGCAGTTACTGATGCACCACAATCTGATATTTACAAGCCAATGGAAACATCTTATGATCATATTGTTTCAAAATATGGAGCTCGAATGTTGTAAACATATACAAACTGAAGAATATATCACATAATCTAGAAGATTACACTAAATTTACCATCGCATGGGTGAACGTATAAAAATATTCACGAGGAGAAGTGATTGTAATTACCCAAACATGATGGATTTTTTGTAATTTAACCTTACATCAGGGGTTGCCCTGTAATTTATCCAAATAAATAAAAGGAGATGACGTATTCCCTCGTTTTCCTTATGACACATAAACGCTAAACATGCAAAAAACAAAAAAAAAAAAAAGAAAAAAAAAAAAAAAGCTTCAATTGTGAAACGCCTAATCCTAAGCGTGTGCCTCTCTCTCTTAATTCTCTTCCCATTAAATGTTCATTACAAATCATCTATAAATACCCAAATCAAAAACCCTAATTTTTCTTCTCTATCACAATCAAAGCAGAAGAATTAATAGCAATGTCTGGAGATTCGAATTCTAATATCTCTGTCACTGCCAGCAGTAAAGCACAAGGCAAGAAGATGTTCTTTGCCCCCTTTTGTTCTCTTGATTTTTCTTTTTCTTAATTGAATTTGATTTAAATTAAATTAAATTAGCCATTGGTGTAATTTGCATGCAGCGATGGAAAATTGTGAGACCACCGCTCTCCAGAAGCATGTTATGTTCTTCGATCGAAACAATGACGGCATTATTTATCCTTCCGAAACTTTTCAAGGTTTTTTTTTTTTTTTTTATAATTTTTTTTTTCTTTATTTTTTTTTTAATTAATTTTTTTTTGTTAATTTTTTTAATTTCTGTTTGTTTTTGCAGGTTTTAGAGCAATTGGATGTGGGCTTCTGTTGTCCTCTGTCGCCTCCGTTTTCATCAACCTCGGCCTCAGTCAGAAAACAAGACCGGTACATTTTTCTTTTTCTTTATTTTTAATTTTCTAATATTTTAAAGTGATTATTACAGTAGGAATATACTTTTAATCAATTGTTTGTTTGTTGTTTCTTTCATATTTTCTATATACATATATATATATATGTGTGTGTGTGTGTGTGTTAATTAACTATTTTCTTAATTTGCAGTTTGATATCCTAAGTGCTAGTTTGGTTGGGGAGATTAGCCATGATTAATAAGACTTTGTTTGATGTTTGGTCTCGTGGGTCGACCTGCAAATATTATATTATCTTGCCTTCTAAGCATGTTTTTTATTGGATCATCGAAGGTCCAATAATATAATAGGGTTTCATTGGATTATTTAATTTAGCCAATTCCTCTGTTTTTACCGAGTAGTGTTTCGTCCTTCCGAGCTATATTTAAAAATGGATCGGAGCAAGTTGATAATTTCTATCCCGTATCTTGATTATATAAAATATTTGATGAGTTGATGTTTTATTGAAGCCCGTATTCTCGAGAAAGAAACGCAATCGAGTTGTTCACATGCTCTGTTTTAAAGTATCATCTTGGTTGAAATTTGTTCCGCATAATAATTTTTCCGTTTTTACATGACCGATGAATGCAGGGGAAACCCTTTTCTTTCAAATTCCCAATCGAGGTGAAAAACATCAAAATGGCGAAACACACGAGCGATTCCGGTGTCTATGACAAAGAAGGAAGGTACATACATATACTTACACATACATATATATGTATATAATGGCTTTTGGGACATTCGTAATTGTTGTTGTTTTTTGAAGGTTCGTTCCAACGAGGTTTGAGGAAGTTTTCGCCAAACATGCCCTTACTCATCCGCACTCCTTGACATCGGACGAGTTGAAGAATCTCTTGAAATCTAACCGGGAGCCAAAGGACTACGGTGGATGGTAATTAATTAGCAAATAATTTCAACATAAATTATTCCATATATATGTATGTATGTAATAAACGATAAATTATATGAAATCAAACAGGCTAGCTGGTTACACAGAGTGGAAGATTCTTTATATTCTTTGCAAGGATAAAAACGGGCTTCTGCACAAGGAAACTGTCAGAGCTGTTTACGATGGAAGCTTGTTCGAACGCATGGCTAAGGAGAATGCATCTAAGAAGCAAAAGTAATTACCAAATACATAAATATACGAACTTAAATATGATACTCTCATATAGTTTTCGCACTTTGTGGGGTTTTTTTTTTTTTTTTTTTTTTAATATTGATTTAATTTGGTAATAAAATAAGCAGAAGTCTCGACTAGTTATACGAGGATACCATTCTTTTTTTTTTCTGCAGCATAGATTGTGATGTTTGATGAACTGATCAAGAACGTGGCGAAATGTGATCAACGGCCTCGTTTAGGACCGATAATACGTATAATCCAGTGAATAAATATTAATACTCGACGGGTGTTTGTTGATTCTTTATTTCATGATGATTCTTTTGTGTGTATACGAGTTTGTATATTGTGTTGGATTAATGTGTAAAAGTGTAAGGAATGCATAAAATGTGAATGTATATATGATTGATGATTGTCTTCTTTATGGTGTGAATGAAATGCATAAGTGTAAATTTTCAGATAATTGAAAATGTGGGTTTCTTTTTTAATAGCCAAAATAATAATTATTTTTTTTAAATTTGCAACATTAGTTTTTTTTGCTTTTCCAATTCAATGTAACATTTGTAACCAACTTAAAAATGCATTCGACGTTTTCATTAGTATTATCTTATCCAAATTTACTTTAGTAGGACTATTTAGATATTTAATTAAAGGGCTTAGTTGATGGAATTCCTCATTAGAGAAGTATTTTGAACTAACTAGTGGTACACTTTAACCATTTATTTGGGTAAATTACGGTCATCCTCGTGGGATAAGGTCAAATTACAAAAAGATCCCTCGTGTTAGGTAATTACAACCATCACATCAATTATGAATCTTCTTATACGTCCACCAATATGGTATCAAATTCAACATAATCTTCTAGATTACTTTAAACGTTATTTAGTTTGTACTCGTTTTGTGCAAAAATGCAGTTACTGATGCACCACAATCTGATATTTACAAGTCAAGAGACACATCTTATGATCATCTTGTTTCAAAATATAGAGCTCGAATGTAATTACCCAAACAATATAGATTTTTTCGTAATTTAACCATACTTCAGGGAGTGGTCATAATTTATCATTTTTTTCTAAATTTGACATATCCTCGTCGCCCATTTGAAGTACCTAAAATACTCTTTCAAAATCAGTTTTAAGACAAAATGATTCTATCTTCACCACGTAAAACGCGCGCTTTAACATAAGGAAATTTGGAGATAAATCTGGAAGAAATTGCCATCCATATCGGTCGCAACTTTTATGGTGTCAAGGGCTTATTGGAAGTAAGGTGCAGATAATTTGATAAGTTTTGTTGATTATATAAAATTATACTATGTGATTTTATATTATACTTTTCATCAAATATGTGGTTTTTATAAGTTACCATTAATTATTCAATATTGAATAATCACACAAACTGAAATGTTAAATATTTTTTTAATTTTACTAATGTCGTTTTGACTTCGAACCTGATTTTGACATATTTCTATTTTGATTTTGGTGAAATTCGAAACACGAAAACTGTAGTCCTTTGGGTTAGCTTTCTAATCCAACTTAAATCCGCTAGATTGGATGCCGTGTGACAAAGTTATGCATGAATGAGTCACATTTTGAATTTTAGATACCTCAATGCATCAAAATTGTAGGCAGTATCCATTGATTCATGTATATCTTTCTCGTCCGACATCCAATTTTGGTGATTCAAATTGGATTAGAAAACTAATTCAGAATACTACAAAATCTATTTTTCGGGTTTTGCAAAATTTGGAATGAAAAAAGATCAAAATCACGTTTGAAGTCGAAATGGTATTATTAACGCTCGAACGGGCATTTATCACATCCCTTAAACAAAACATATGAGCCCAAATCACGTCATAGTTTGCATTATTTTTCTCTCTGAAATACTTTTGTGATGTCCAGTCTCAGCCCAAAGCTTTCCAAGGCCCATATTGCTTTCTTGTAGTCTATTTACCAAAATACCCTCATGAAATCAGCATTAAGTGCGTGCTCCAATGTATTATTAATATTTTATTTTTTTTTGAGTAATGTCCGATGTATTTCACCAGATGTAACTGATGATGTTTTGACCAGCAAAATTCGAAGGCCATCTTCCAATTTATGTACATGAAACGAAGAAATTAAATGTTGGATATATTTTGATTCCGATCCCGACTTTAATTAATGATTTAATTAGATTTATTTCTATGAATTTAATTCGATTTAATATAATCTAATTCAGTGGTAGATGAATAATTTGTATAATTGATATTTTAATTTAATCTAATTTTCTCATATTTTGCGTACACTACAAGTCTGTAGTGTAATCTGAAGCCACTCTACAGTAAACTAATTAAAGAAAAAAAACATTGGAGAAGAAGACATTTTTGCATTCTTCATTCAAAATATGTCCACGTGTACTTGTTAGAGAAATAAAGAGCAAAATACAAATATCATCCATGTTTTAAGGGTTGCCTTTAATCCAATCTTATTATTAAATTAATTAATTAGTCATTCATGCAAGATTTATTTGAAGAACATATCCAAATAATTATAATTTATAAGTCCATGTATACCTTTTCAATAATGGCACCGTAATTTGGAAGGATTGTAGTTATTTAATTAGCCTAAAAAAACATACAATATAATCATATAGGTGCATTAAATAAACTTAACGCTCTCTCGTATAATTAATTACTGATTATTCGAGAGACGTAAACCACACTAGGCTAAAAAAAACATACAATCAATCATATAAGTGCATTGAATAAACTTAACGCTCTCTCATATAATAAATTACTGACTATAATAAATTACTGACTATTCGAGAGACGTAAACCACACTAGGCTAACTACTTGTGCCAAGCTCTACCTAGCGATCGTTGGCAAGTAGATTCGGACTTGCATTAGCGGAGCCAGGATTTTAAGTTCGAGGGGCCGAATGCATTAAAAGAAATTCTAAGGGGGCCATTAATGTTTTTGTACAATTTTTTTTTTTTTTTTTTTTTTTTTACATTTTTATATAAATTAATAGAAATTTGAGAAATGTTGGGTGGCAATGGCGCCTCCCTATGCTGGCTCCGCCACTGCGGACTTGGGTCAATTGTCACAAGTTCACTTACTCCAACCGCTAGGTCATCTCTTACGGAAAAAAATATTTAATTAACTAATAGTCAGACATGATGTCCCAACATTTACATATAATTTGGAAATCAAGATCCTATATATATGTGTCTATTTTTATATGAATAAGTACATTTGAATTCTACCTAATGTCTCGTAAATGATGACTTAGCGATTGGAGCAAGTGAGTTTATTTCAATTGAAGCGGGCTTGAATTTCATTGCCGACAATCGTTAGGTTGAGTTCATCACACATGATTAGTTTAGTGTACTTTACGTCTCTCGTATGATTTGTAAACTATTATACTACAGTGTAGGCACCTATATAATTGACTGTTGTGCAATTAACCGTTATTTGTAGCCACTTTTTTCTTAATTAATTAATTTTGACACTCATGGTCAAATGGTAGTAGTAAAAACAACCATTCCAGTTTCCACAAACAGCAATGCTCATTAGATGGTTCACCAAAACACTTACTCTTAATTTAAGTAATTCAGTTATAATTAACCATAATAGGTGTAGTTAATTAATGATTATAATAAAAACTTAGGCCAATTAAAAAGAATAATTCTTGTCAAAAACTGCCAAAAAAGAAAAGAAAAGTTAGATGACATTCTTTTTTATCCTCACTTTCTTAACTTTTATATAACTTTTAAATATGCAAAGTTAGAAGGAATATCAATTTAACTGTGTCAACATCTCCTTTTTATACTTATTTACATATAAAAGTTTGTTAATTTTAATTTTATTTTTTGATAAATAAATGATTAATGAACAACTTAAACACTGGTTATTACAAAATCATAGGATGTGGATTGTTGGGCTGTAATATCTTATTACCCTTTATGGGACTTATATTGTTAGGTTAGGTGTCATCATCTAATAATCTCAGTAACTAATATATCATATATGTCTTTACTAAATCATTTCATGTAATAATAATAATAATAATAATAATAATAATAATAATAATAATAATAATAATAATAATAATAATAATAATAATAATAATAATAATAATACTTTAAAAAAAATATGATATAAACGCAAGGCAAAAGTTGCAACTGCAAATACTTAAAAAAAATGATTAAAAGCCAAAAAAAGTTGATAATCTTTTTTGGAAAAGTTTTACAAATTAAATACCAACTTAATATGTTTGAATATATACTGCAAATACTTTAAAAAATGATTAAAAGCCAAAAAAGTTGATAATCTTTTTTGGAAAAGTTTTACAAATTAAATACCAACTTAATATTTTTGAATATACAAGTCTAACAACTAATGACTTTCCAGTGGTGCTCAGGTCAATTAATTTCACATGGTAAGCATATCAATCTCATTGTGCTAATCATCTACAAGTAGGTGGTGTGTTAACTCATTTGGCCCGGCCCGGCCCGGCCCGGCCCGGACCCCAGTCATATTCACTGCGCTTAAACTATATATATAAACTGAACTACATTGCAAAGTCAACAATAAAAAATGACCAAGTATACCAAGCAATTATTATATCTATGTATCGTCTTTTATATAATTTTTAATAATTAAATTAAAGAACTAATTACTAGGAAATTAATTAGCATTAGCAATATATAAACAAATGTCGATGATACTAGGGGGGCCGGAGCCCCGCAAATCACTTGGTCAACAAGACTACCAAACTACTCGATCAGGCGCTAACTGTATATATATCTTTGTATCTATATATTTATATGGTTAAATTACAACCACACCCCTGAGGTATGGTTAAATTACGAAAAAAACCCTCATGTTTGGGTAATTATAACCACCCTCAACTATAAATCTTCTTACACGTCCATTCATACGGTATCAAATTTAGTGGAATCTTCTAGATTATATGGAATATTCTCAATTTTGTCCGTACCCATTTTATCCGGTTCGAGCTCCACATTTTTAAGCAAGATGATCATAAGATGTGTTTTTTGGCTTGTATATATATCAGATTGTAGTGCATCAAAAACTGCATTTTTTTGCAGAAAACGAGTACAAACTAGAGAACATTCAACGGAATCTAGAAGATTATGTTGATGTTGACACTGTAAGGGTGGACGTGCAAGAAAATTTATAGTTGAGGAGTATAATTAGAATTATCCAAGCATGAGAGTTTTTTTCGTAATTTGACCACTAACTCAGGGGTTGGTTGTAATTTACCCTATTTATATTGATACACACACATACTACACCATCATAATCTAATCCACACACTGATCATTCTTCTCCTTACGTAAACTTTACACACACACACACACACACACACACACACACTACAAGTAGCAATTCTCTACTAGCTAGCAATCACAGTTTCACACTATATTACACAACTTTCTCTCTCTAACCACTTAATTCTCTCTCTCTAGAAACAGGGAATTAAACATGAACATGCATGTAATAAGTCGCCCTATTTCAATCTCTTCTTTCCGTGTTCTTCTCGTAATTCTGTTACAACTCGCGACCACGTCAGATTCTTCTCTAGATTCCTTCATATACGTGGGCTGCTCCCAGATAAGCTACGCGCCGGGAACCGCGTTCGAGTCAAACGTCAACTCCATACTCTCCTCCATACTCAACTCCGCCGCCGTCTCCAACTACAACAACTTCAAGATCTCTAACCCCGGCGCCGGCGCCGGCGACACCGTCTACGGCCTCTTCCAGTGCCGCGGCGACCTCAGCACCTCCGACTGCCACGACTGCGTCTCGAACGGGGTCACCCGGCTCGGCGCGTCCTGCGTCGGCTCCACAGGCGGCGCGTTGCAGTTCGACGGGTGTTACCTCAGGTACGACAACGCGTCCTTTCTGGGGGTGGAGGACAAGACGGTGGCCTCCGATAAGTGTGGGCCCATCGGAGATGAGTCGGACTTGTTGACCCGGAGGGATTCGGTGCTTGATTTTCTAAAGTCCGGCGGGCAGTTTTTCCGGGTAAGTGGGTCGGGTAAGATCCAGGGGCTGGCCCAGTGCGTGCAGGATTTGAGCGTTGACGAGTGCCAGGATTGTTTGTCTGAGGCGATCCAACGGCTGAGAAGTGAGTGCGGGTCATCTGCTTGGGGGGACATGTTCTTGGGGAAATGCTACGCGCGGTATTCGGAGCGTGGGTACACCTCAAAACACGGTAAGTTATAATTAACGCTCTTAATTAATTACTTATAATTTAGCACATAAAACCCACACTATATATTACCCACGTGAAAATTATTGAGGGTAAATTGCACTTAACCCCCTATGATTACAAACATTTGCAAATGACTCCCTCTATGCTCGTAATATCAGCACGTAACACTCTTTTAGTTTATGGGATAGCTTCCGATAGTTTTTCCGTGAAACTTAATCGTGTGCGTCAAACTTAAAGGGGGCATATGCAAAAAAAATTACTTTGACTTTTGACATTGGCAGTTAAGTTTGACGGAAAAACTAATGGAAGTTAACCCCATCAACTACGAGGGTGTTAGGTGCTGATATTAAATGCATAAGGAGATCATCGGCAAAATCTTGTAACTACAGGGGTTTAAGTGCTATTTACCCAATTATTAATTAAGAACATGTTAGATAATGATGACGATTAATTATTACTTAATTATCCTAAGAAAAAAAAAACAAAAATAATTACTTAATTAACAACCAAAATAAGACTACACAACGGTCTGATTAATACATCAATGGTTACAGCTGTTCAAAGTTGATGTAATGAATCCCCTACTTACGTAGTACCTAATATAAGTAAATATTATGAATCTTGACCAGTCATTTTACTTTAATTATTACAGTTAAACCTCTATAAATTAATACAGTTGGGACCATCAAGATTTCATTAATTTAGCGAAATATTAACTTATCGATAAATTAATAATTATTAATTTATACATTAATTAATAACTTATTAATTTATGAAATTACTTTTATTATTATTTTCAATAAATACATTTTTTTTTAAATTTTTACGTATATATTATTCATTGTACCATGCACTATAGAGCCCGTTTCACGAATGGAAGCTCTTAAAACAGTAATGGTATAGAACGATTTATGTTGAGTTATTAGAAAACTATACCGAAAGTTCTAACCATGTTAAGAAAAGTGAGGGACGAGATTGATGGTATGTGAACTTCTACAAGAAACAAGTGAGAATTAAATTATATTATATTAACTCTTCATAGATCTATAAAATATGCACTGTAATATGTAATTTAAGAATTTTTTTTATGCATTATTAATTTATATATTATATGGGGCTTCTTAAAATTTCCGAATGTGTATTATCTTATAAATTTAGCGAATTATTAATTTAGCACGTTGTCCCCGAGTCGGGACCGGGAAAATTTATTATTTAAGCGAGGTTATTAATTTATCGGGTATTAATTTATCGAGGTTCTACTGTATTTAGATGCCAAAGTAGGTAATATTTTTATATATTATATTTTTCTAAATGTTAATTAATGTTTATTATATTTTTTAAATGCAGAAAATGGTGATGACGTGGAGAAAACATTGGCCATTTTCATTGGACTTGTGGCTGCTGTTGCAATACTAATTGTCTTCCTCTCTTTCTTCAGTAAACTTTTTGATAGCAAAGGTAATTAATTAATTAAAAATATATATCTCCTTATTTTTCTTTCAATTATATGTACTATTTTTTTTTAATTAATTAGTATTGGGAGGTATAATTAATTTAAAGTGCTTGATTTTGTTTTACTGCAGGTGGTAAATAATTAAGAGCAACTGAAAGACAGTGATAAAAGAATGAATAAAAATCTTTACACTTTCGTAAAAAGTGTTGTTTCTGTAATAAGTAGAAAATTAATTTAATGTCCACTTAGATATTAGGAATTTTTATTTAATCCTTCATTTTTAATGTTCTTCATTATTGATTCAGTAAATTAAATCACTACATTGTACTTTGTCCCGGATAAATATAATATATTTATTTGTCACTTTAAAGAACGTTTTCTATTCCACATTATGTGTCATTTTAGAAAATTTCGACAATTATTAACGGATTTTTCTCAAATTTTACTTTTTATCACTCTTAATTACTCTCCTTATTTAAATTATCTACAGTGTTCAAAAAATACTGCTTTATGAAAAAACGACACATATTTATGAACAGAGGGAAGAGCGAGTAATATATTAACAGAATAGTACACACAAGTTATTATATGTTATTCTTGCTTAATTTATTTATGAAAATAGACAAGACTAGAATTTAAAAATAATAAATAATAAAAGAAAAAAATTAGATAAGACTATATATGTTGACCAAAAGATAATTGATGATAGAAAAAGCTATTTATTTAGTGTCAATGTCATAAAAGCACTAACAGCAATGATTGAAACTATATTCTCTTACTTTATTGTTGCAAATTGGATTATGGGGACAAATTTGATTATACATTAAATTAAAGGTACAATCAAAATGGATTTTACAAGTTTAACAATGGAGACAAGTTGAAGATGTATAATAAAGCGTGTAGCATCTTCTCTTTCATTATTATTATAAATATATCAATTTCTTTTTATATATTATATATAGGTTTTATTGAATTAATTAACTATTAGGTAGATTATGATATAATTGAGCGCTTTATTTCATTTCAATGATACTTATCCTCACAGTGATTCATGCTTGAGGCCCCACTTTATTCCATGTTATTTTATTTCATAGGTAACATATGAAAATGACTTTGATATATTTAGCAAAATGACAGTTGTGTATACTCGAGGCAAGAATTAACATTTTTTTTCTTCTTTTTAATTAAAATATTTAGCACTATTTAGAATTGATATTATGTTAATGATGGGCTTTATGCTTTGAGCCTTTTCTTGATTGGTTGTCTCTTTGTTTTTATTTAATAATTTCAAATTTGGGCCTGAATTAATAGTTACGGTATTGGGCATCATTTTTCATCCGAGGCCCATAAAAATATATGATTTTTTATACCACAGATATTTTGTTTTCTAGACTATTGATTTATGCGAATCAATCTTATTTAATTGTAACAGCTTCCTTGTGTAGTCATTTGTCATAATTACTAAAGGAAGAATAAATAATACAAGAAATCGACATAGTTCGAATATAAAATGACATATATACAATATACACGATGACCTACAAACAAGATTTCACTAATTCGTTCTTATATACAACTCGATCATTTTTTTTTTCCACATCGTACTTTATTAGACTTTCTTCGAGGTTGAACTTCGTTCAGGCGGCGGATAACCTCTCCCCAGATCTTTACATCAAATATGTATGTGTCGCCACAGCATAACAACGAGTTAACGATGGCACAATACTATTCCAGATAAAGATCACTTGAAACTTTTTGTTGTTTGACCTTGTCTTCAAGGTTGTTCTAATCTGTCCCTAAATGCCTTTCTACCAAAATTATCTAATTTTAATCAATTAATTAATTAATTTAATAATATATATCAAACTGATCGGGCCGTTCTCCAATTCACAGTCGAACCAATTAGTTGTTAGGTTTAAAACACGTGATGAAATGTTTTAATACCTAAAATTACACCATCAGCCTAATTTTCCACAATCTTACTAAACTGCCAAACCAACAACTTCCTTTTTGAACACATTCAAATTCTGGTACCAAAAATACACACACACACACAAAAAAAGACCAGTCCACTGAGTAGAAATGTCAACACTAAAACAAATAAAATAATACACAAAAGAATTTACAAGTCGTCACAGTAGCCGTCAATCTCATGCAATACCTAAAGTCAACGCCTGCACAAATAAAATACCAAACAAAACGACGACCGTTGACCGCTGTCTGTCTGTAACTATATCATATCAAGAAACAAACATCCAATTTTCCGACCACCTCAAAAAAATCAAGACTCAATTTAATAAATTCCTCCGAGTTTTTCCCGCCAAAAAAAAAAAATGATTTCCCGCCACCACCTGATCTTGCTGGTCATCATCTTCTCCGTTACAACATTCCTCCCCACCACATTCTCCAACCTCGCCGCCGACCGATCAGCCCTCCTCCGCCTGCAAGCCGCCGTCCGCGGCCGCACCCTCCTCTGGAACACCACCTCCGCCGCCGCCGCCTCACCCTGCTCCTGGGAAGGCGTCACGTGCGGCGGCGGCGCAACCAACCCCCGCGTCGTCGCACTCCGCCTCCCCGGCGACGGCCTCAGAGGCCGCCTCCCGCCGAACTCCGTCGGAGGCCTGACCGAGCTCCGCGTCCTCAGCCTCCGGCGAAACTCCCTCTCCGGCGAAATCCCCTCCGATCTCTCGTCATGCACGCATCTCCAAGACCTCCACCTGCAAGGAAACAACTTCTCCGGCGAATTCCCGGCAAGCTTCTTCACTCTAACAAACCTCCTCCGCCTCAACTTAGCCGGAAACAGCTTCTCCGGAAATATATCACCCCGGTTCAACAACCTAACCCGGCTGAAAACCCTGTACTTAGAAAACAACCGGTTCACCGGACCACTCCCGAATTTACCAAACCCTAATCACCTAACAAACTTCAACGTTTCGGGTAACGGGTTAACGGGTCAAATCCCATCGGATTTCGCCATTTTCACTCCACAATCTTTCCTACAAACCTCTCTCTGCGGCCACCCTCTTGCTTCTTGCTCAAGCAACAATGGCGGCGGCGGCGGCAGTAGCCTCTCCACGGGAGCAATCGCCGGAATCACAATCGCATCAACCCTCGTCTTACTTTCAATAATCCTCATAACCACATTCGTAATTTCACGGCGAAAACGAAATATCCGAACCCGAAAAATCCTTCCTCATATACTCGAAAGATCGTCCCCTACGCCGTGTTCCCCTGTCAAACCAAAAATCGAAATCAATAATCACTCCGTTTATTACGACGAAAAACGAACGAGCGACGACGGACTGGTGTTGTTCGGAGAAGATCAAGTTGAAAATTTCAGCTTGCAGGATTTGTTGAGTGCTTATGCAGAGGCGATGGGGAAAGGTACGGTTGGATCGACGTACAAGGCGTATTTCGACAGTGGCGTTGAGGTAATTGTGAAGAGGTTGAAAAATGTTCGTGTTTCCGAGGAAGAGTTTATTGTTAAAATTGAGGAAGTTGGATTGTTTGATCATGAGAATTTGGAGCCGGTTCGAGGTTATTTCTATGGTAGAGATGAGAAGCTTCTTCTCTATGAGCCCAAGACAAATGGAAGCTTGTCTGAACTTCTTCATGGTAAGCATTTTTTTTTTGTTAATTTATGTTTCTTCGTAAATTTGCATGCAATCGAGGTAGTCAAAATCGGGATTTTAAGTAAATTTTATAAAGGGGTAGTAAAATCGGATCGTAGAGTCGTAAGATTTTAAATATTTAAAAAAAAAATTAAATAGCATGTTGTATAGTAGTTGTTGATTATTTGGATTAGTCCTTTTGCCTACAAATTGTTTATGATGCCGATAAAAAATCGTTGAAATCGCAGTAAAATTGTAGATTTTAACGTTTTTTTACTTCCGATTTTGAAAGGTTTTGTTTCGATTACTAGTATTTAACAAGGTATGTACATGTTGGTAGGATCGTAAAATCATTGGACTTTAGGATTTTGATCGGAATTTTAACTAGCTTGTCTTCTATATATATATATATATATATATATATATATATATATATATATATATATATATATATATATATATATATATATATATATATATATATATATATATATATATATATATATAAAGGTTTCTTCTTTCTCAACTTTGTTCTCGTCATTGTAATTAACACAGGAAACAACAAAAGACAGCTATCGTGGGAAAACAGGGCTAAAATAGCTCTTGGAGTTGCACGCGGTATCGAATATCTCCACTCCGTGGGCCCCACAACCGCACACGGCAACCTCAAATCATCGAACGTTTTCCTCACGGAAAACTACGAAGCACTTGTCTCCGAGTTTTGCCTAACGCACCTCGTTTCGCCACTTGGCAATCTCAACGGATATCGAGCGCCTGAGGTGGCGGATACACGCGATGTTTCACGACAAGCGGATGTGTATAGCTTTGGAATCTTGCTTTTGGAAATTCTTACAGGTAAAGAACCGGACAAGGTTTTGACCGAGGAAGGGATCGAGTTGCCTAATTGGGTTCGATCGGTCGATCGGGAGAAGTGGAGTGTTGAAGTGCTTGATTCTTCTTCTGATTTGGTCGGGTTTGAAAATTTTGAGGAGAGAAAATTGGTGAAACTGTTAAAACTCGCGATGTCTTGTACTGATCAGCTTCCTGACGAGCGACCTTCCATTGAAGAGGTCGCCCGACGGATTGAAAAGATATGTGGTTGAATGTTTTTTAAGAAATTAAATGGTTTTATTTGTCAAAATATGATGTAGAATGAGTGATGTAATTATAATTATTTATATTCTTTTGTGTAGTGAATATTATACATGGAGGGGTATTATGGGCACTTGGCATTTTTTTTCCTGAAATATGTGTCATTTGTGCAAGAGAGTAAAAGTAATTCTTTTATTTTTTATACTTAAAAAAAATGAAACATATACACCAAAAAAATATTTTCTCCAACTCAAAGGAAAAAAGAACTCACTACGGAAAATAACAAATACAATTTTATTTGTATTTAGGGAAAATTATATAAAAAAAAAATCTCTCATATTTGGATAATTACAATAATCTCCCTCAACTATGAATCTTCTTACATGTTTACTTTTACTGAAATGATTTGTGCAGGCACATATTAAACAGTCAGGCACATTTTTTACCATTCTTCAAAAAACAAAAAGTGAAAAAACTCAAAAACTCTCTCAACCTTTCGATTTTCTTTCGCAAAGCCCGTGCAAATCGTCAACAGATCGGAGGTATTTTTTACGTTTTTACGATCCTCTTGTTATGTAGATTACGAATCCGAAAAAAAAAACGAAAAAAATCGGACTTTGGCCTGCTCGTGTGAATTTACACGAGCGCATCCACTGCGCTCGTGTAAATCCACACGAGCATGCCTTGTTAATTTTTTTTTTAATTGCTCGTGTGATTTCACACGAACAGAGACGTTCTGCTCGTGTGATTTCTGTTATTTGGGTGTGTGTATTTTGAAATGGGAACGAACAAAATTTGGACAGAAGTTTGACAAGAAAAATGTAGTCGAGGCAAGAACTCGGTTCTTTCTCCTTAAGACAAATTTGCCCCGTACAGTGCTCTCGGTTACGGCAATTGTCTCCCAAGATACAACGACTATTTCAGTTCCAACAAAGCAGCACAACAATTATTGGAACACGGCGAACGAAACGACGTTTAGGACTTTATAAGACACGAAGAAAAGGACTTGGTAATGCAACAATATGCAATGATATATTATGACGAGACGTGAATTCAATTAATGTATTGAATTCCATGTGAATAATGAACTATTTCAAATGGTGGATTTTGGAATCTATTTATAGATTTTCAAAGGGTTATGACCACAAGTCACAACTCTTAGGAAAATAATTTCATGAAAAGGTATCACACCTTTTCTCATTAACTACACGCCTATTCAATTTAATAGGTGCTTAAACACCTCCATCTTTTTCAATGGTGGCATTTCACTTTATTATTTTCCACACTTAAATATTTTAAATGATCCATTAATTTATCATTCATCAAAAATTAATTTTGAGAATTTAAATTAAACCACTTAAATATTCAACAAAATTTGAGTCAAATACTCAAAATTTCCAACAATCCCCCACATGAATGAAATTAATGCATGCAGACACATTCAAAGTCCAAGCGATTTGTTATTGCATCGGGAGAGGTAGCTTATGGCTTTGAACCTTCCTTAGTAAAATGCTGTCGGATTTACTTGTTGTTTAGTGAACGCGATGTCTTGAACTAATCAACTTTTGTGTAAACCAAGACAACAACACTTACACAATAACATCTCTAACGTCTTTTGTTCTCACGTTGTGTCCATTTCGGCCTTGGACCAATTCTTGGATTCATAAGTGTTTCATTGAAGCGGCCCTATACTTCACACTTAAATAGGTGATCTCTCATATAGAATACCCTGCCGTATTCCACCTTAAAAGGTCATAGAAATCATTAAAAGTCACTAGACTTAACCTTACCACATTCGACAGGTAGCACTTGGATTTTAGGGAATGGTAGGAATTATTTCCAAGTGCTCGATTTGAATTTCCATAACTTAGTTGTCCCATTGAACCAAGATCTTGGGATCTCCAATCTACAAGTTGGTTACCATCATGGATTTTCGTTTGAGTGTGGGTTTATAGACCCATTCCATCACT